AGGCTGCTGACTCCTTTGCAAATGAGAGACCAGAACCTGTCATTGGTATCGCTTTAGGCTTTGCTGAACAAATATTGAACACCTGGATGGCTCTCTCCAAGACATTCATTTTCCCTCCGAAGCTCGAAACCAAGCAGTTTTCGGACTACAGTACGGATGAACTATGATGTCTAACAGGCCTTCTCGCAGGTCACTGTCGTCTGAATATTTATATGTAGAGATTCGGATTGTCGGACGACAGTGTGTGTCCCCTCTGTTGGGAAACTGATGAAACAGCAGGGCAGATAATCTGTGCTGCGGACCGAATCAAGTTTTCAGAGTTTGGCAGAGCCGCACTCTTACCATTTGACCCAAAAGATAATTCACCATATAAACTAATAGGCTTCTAATTCAAATTTATAATAATAATAATAATACGTTTATTATTTACCACAAACCCACAAACAATATTAGGTTTCAATAAAAAAAACTAGGTAAATAAAAGGTGAGAGTTCAGTTTTTTTCAACATCAGGAAGAGAGAAACTGGTCTTCCACTCAGACCCTTACTACAAACTAAACTAAAATACACTTACTGACTAGTATCAATAAACAAGAAGACCAGTGAAAAGAAAAGGAAAAAAACAAGATGAATGAGAGAGAGAAGATAGGAACCCTTTTTATAATTTATTTTCACTTGTGAGGGCAGAGATTCCTTTAGGTCGTGAAACCGCTAGGTTGCATGACGACGACGCTGTGAGAATTTTATTTTTTGCTCTAAGTTGGCATATATTTTCAATTATTTATTCATTTTTGTAGTTCACGAAAACATACAGTCATGATTTTTTCAAAGAGAAACACAACCTACTGTAGTCGGTTATCTTGTACGTATTCATGTAACTAGCAAAATTTCCTTTGTATGTCGAGGAATGGCGATAAAAAAAAATTGTCGAGTATTTGTATCATGTATGTCTTTTCTATATGTGACTTTATCATGGAGATATTTGGGTTGCTTGTATTTCAAAAGTTTGTAGAAGTAGCAAAGGATATGTAGTTTACGCCTGTTGGACATATTGAGCCATTCAATTTCTTCAATTTTATGGGAGATTCTCTGCCTGCTTTTTATGTCAAAAATAAGTCTTAAACAGCAGTTCTGGATTTTCTGAATACGCTGACTATCCAAGCCATCTAAACATGGTGTATATACAATATCACAATAGTTGAATTGGGAGAGTACTAATGAATCACACAGCATTTTTTTTACATCTTGGCCTGAATAGTGTCTATGTGGGTAAATCATCTTCAAGCTAGTGTAACTTCTTTTCAACATGGTATTGACCTGTTCTTTGAATCTCAATTTTTGATCTAGTTCTTTGCACTCTCACTAAAAGGTATTGTGTCACTTCCCATCCTCAGTATAAGATTATAAGATATGTCATTCCTGACATTGTCATTACAGAACAAAATAGCACATGACTTTTGAGGTTTTATTTTGAGTAGATGTTCATCACATATGTTTTTTAAAGATTGTAAGTCAATATTTATTTCTCTGTTAGTTTGCATGACATTATCTGGTTCAAAGGTTTTATATATCTGTGTGTCATCAGCATACATGTAGTTACAGTGCTGCAGAGCCTCATGAAATGTTGCAGTAAACAAGGTGAACAGAAGTGGACCCAAAGTACTACCCTGAGGAACACCGCATGATACATGAGCAAAATTAGAAGTTTTATCATTCAGAGTAACACGTTGAAGTCTATTTGATAAATATGAAGTAATAAGTTTGCAAGCATTTTGGTCAAACTTTAAGTAGTGAAGTTTAGATAGGAGAATTCTATGGTTTATCAAATCAAATGCTTTCGAAAAGTCAAGTAGGATGAGAACAGTTGCTTTATTTTCATCAATACCTTTGATAATGTCATCCGTTATATTTGCAAGTGCACTCAAACAACTGTAACCAGGTCTGAACCCCGATTGCTTTTGAGGTAGAATTTTAGACTGTTCAACAAAGATTCGTATTTGTATTTCCATAATTTTTTCTAGAACTTTGGACAGAGTAGGATGAATATTGATTGATCTGTGGTGATTGAAGTCTTTTGGTTGGTTCACCTTCGGCAAGGCAAGGCCATCACAAGATCATAACAAAGATAAAGCAAAATATGAAAAAACTTGAGAAGCTTAGTAATGGAAGTCACTAACCACAAAAAAGTTTGAATTCACGGAGGGAGTAAAAGCATCCTTCGACCAGTACTTTCTTTAATTTGCCTGCACGTCGTCTTGATTTTATTCAGGTTGAAGCCCAGCTCCCTTACCCTTTTGGCTGATCTTTGTCGAAGAAGGACGAATGAGTTTATGACTGAGGGGATGATGGCGGTATGAAGTTCTCAGACATCAGTACTGCCCTTCACGGGGTACCCCTACCTGGCTGGGGTAGGATGGATGAAAAAGCTATTCGTCCATTAACGGGAAACATGAGGGCCTCATTCGACAGAGTGTCGGGGCCTTCTATATCGGGAGGGGTCGTCTACATCATAATCTATAGCTTTCCTAACGGATTTTTGTGAGTTTCCGCGCTATCAAAAACTCGCCGATTCCTCGACTGAATGGACTGAAGGCAGCTGCAAATTTCTGCGGATGGCTTCATTCCGCACGAACCAAGGATCATTCACAATCATCCTCATCAACTTGTTTTGTAATCTCTCCAAAATGGAGATATTGTACGTAGACGCTTGTCCCCAGACGCCTGAAGCATACATGATGACAGGCTTGAACATCGTATTGTAGATGGTAATTTTGTTCTTTAAACTCATTTTAGATTTTCTGTTGATCAGAGGGTAAAGACTAACGATCCGTCCCTCGATCATTGACTTAACGTACATAATGTGCGGGTCCAAGTGAGTCTACGGTCTATTAGAAGGCCGTGGTACTTTACCCGCGCTTGCCAGTCAATCTCCCTTCCAGAGGTTGTGACTTTTCTGGCCGGAGAAGATTTCAATCTTCCTATGGTTATCGCCTGACTCTTGTTCGGGTTCACTCGGATCTTCCAATCCAGCGCTCGAGGTCGTCCAATGCACGTTGCATGTAGACTGTAGATGATGACGAGCTCCCGACCTGTGGAAGACGAGAGGAGAGCCGTGTCATCGGCGTACAGGGATATCTTCACACCCAGAGTTGCCAACCGTAACGGAATGCCGCTACTGTAGCGGAATTTACTCTACGGTAGCGGCGTAGCGGATTTGAGAATAAAGTAGCGGAATTCTCAATAAATAATCAATTTTGAAAATATATGGAAGAAGAAGAGGCCGTTGGCAGCACTCATAGCTGACAGTTGACACTTGCATAATTGAATGCACAGTCTTAGTAGCTGAGGCCATTACATGATGAAAGAGAAGAAGAATATTTTTGGATATTTTCAATCATATCATAAACCTCCAATATCTTGAAACTGAGTGTCGACTGTCTCTAGTATTATAAATTATATGGAACAAATTACAGTGGAAATGGAAGATAGTAGGATAGTTCTTCTGATTGAAACTCGAGCGAAAGAGCTACCGCAGTCGTAATTGACGGAAACTAGACATATCTCGAAAACAAACTTTTTGTCAATATTGGTTGTCTGATTCCAACTTGAAAGGATGGATTGACTTGTTGCGAATGATCGTTCAAGAGCTCAGTGTGACTATACGTATGTGAACAAATTGATATTTATTTTTACTTTTCAAAATCATTATTTCAAACTAAGAAATATTTGGTCAAGACGACAGCTTTCAAAAATTAATTGCTGTAAATTCAGAAAATTAGGTATCATCTACTGAGTTGCGTAGTTGAAAATTGAAATGATCCTGATTCCTGACATTAGTGACAGTTCAGTTTTGTGGTATCTGAATGGTACACAAATTACAAACTGCAAGTTCTGTGGTATTTAATTTTGGATAGGGCGCATGCGCGAACTGATTGCGTTAGATATACAAGCGTAGCGGAATATGAAGCAGTGTAGCGGAATTTTGTTTCATGTGTAGCGACTTTTCAGACCATCTAGTCGGCAACACTGTTACACGCTTTGTCTTTAATTTGCGTTTGAAGATATCTGGACGTCTGCTCTCTCTGAATTCGAAGGGCAGAATGTTGAATAGACGTATTCCAGTATTCACTGAACCTTTTTTTGCATGGAGTGACAAATTGTCTTCGGTAAAGTATTTCTTTTGTTTCTGGTGTCATACATGTGGATATCGCAATGCCTTCTAAAGCTGTTTAGTTTCTTGAAAATGTGAGTAAACAGTTTTAATATATAAATAGAGGGCACCGTGAGAATTTTATTACTTTTTGCATGATGTTCTATAAGATAAGCAGAAAATGCGTCTAATAATACGTTTTTGCAACACAAACACTCTTTGTAGTTCGGACGCTTGACCCCACACAACGATACTATATGAAATAGCGGAGTACACAAGTGGATTGTAAACTTCAAAGAAACATTCTCGTTCCAGCATGTTTTGGAGTGTAGTGACCACATAGAAACATTTGTTCAGCTTGCCACAAACTACATCGACATACGAGTTTCATGATAGGTTTCAGTCGAATTGTGTTAGAATGCTGGGTTTATTTGTTCGAGTGCGAAAAGATGTGAGACACAATAAACCCTTGCGGGTTGCGGTGGAGAGTCGAATATACCCTCTCACGTTTGACCTAACCTAACCTAACCTGTACCGGAAATTGCGTCAGTAGCAGCTGGTACTGGTGCTCGAATTCCTAGCACGCAATTTTCATTCTGGTGGAATTATGACTTGTGTTACATTGGCAAAAGTGCACTGTTTCAAATGACACCCATTTGTATTGAATTGAACAAGTATTCACTGAAATATTACAGTTCAAAGTTGAGAAAACTTCGAAACAACCCATTATTTGAAATAACCAAATTTGTTTTCCAGTTCTGACTTTTCAAGTAACTAGGAAAGTTTGACAACATCAATCTGCATTTTCCTTTCTAGATGAAAGCAATTCAGTGGAAAAATTTAATGCTCACCATTTCATCTAAACTCTTCAAATCGTTAGTGATGATTTGAGGGGCCGGTCCGTACATCAATACAGTCTCTTCGTCTTCGAGATCGCTGTCGCTATCGCTATCATCGTCAAGGTTGTTTTGATTATTTGAATTTTCGTTGAAAGTGACACCCATTTTTTTCTGGTCCGCCGCTATTTCTCTGTCAATTTGTCGTTCCATTTGTACCAACACAGGTGCTAACATGCCGAACCTGAAGAAATAAGATAGCAGTTAACCATTATGACACATAAAATTGTTTGAGTTCAGGAAAACTTTATAATTTAAAGAATTATTTTCCCCTTGAGAGATTATTGTTACGAGTTAAAACAATAAAATCTCCCAATATAATCGATATTATTTTCAAAAAAAGACTAGAATTCGATAATTTATTCTGGGTGATACAGAAATTGAGGTTATTTTTGATACTTCACTCTGTATAACAAATATTCAAAAAGGAAAGTTATACATTTCTACAGAATATGAAAAGGTTTATTGAAACTTGAAAAGTATTCTTGATTTCAAGTAGGTAAATAATATTACTGAAGTTTTATCTCAACACCAAACCGTTATTTTAACACCTTGACACGTGTTTTGATCGCCAAGTGATCATCTTCAAGAGGAAGTTCCGTAATCATGCCTCAGCCACCGTATTCACCAGATTTGGCCTTCTCTGACTTTCTCCTGTTTCCAAGGTTGAGGAAACCCCTGAGAGAACGGCGTTTTTCGACGATTGGAGAAATATAAACTGAATCGGGAAATAAAAACCAAAACAGGACTGTTTCGAAAATTGAGAAAAATAAAAATTCACCGCTGTCAAAAATTTTTCATTTCTGCAATTTAACATATCCTTATACAGTGCTTTTCTTTAATGAGTCCCTCCTCCCTTTTATTTTTTGAATGGTTCAACGCAAAATATTGAAATTTGGGATAATGAAACTAATACATGAATACTTTATTTTGAAGTGAAATTGACAGGTAAAACTTTCAAGATGGTGACTGGGCGCCATCTGGAAAAAAAATAAAATGGAAAGGGGGGTGACACATCTTTTTGAAGCTCCTGACAGATGCTTCACAATCATTAAATATAATGACAATATCTTCAACTACTACGAAATGGCGGAACTTTTGATAATTGCCTGAATACATTGACATTTAACTACGTAATATGAGGTAATAAGCTTGAGGTCAGTTCAGAAGATGCTCGAAATGGTTGCCTTGAACTTCTTGAGATATGAACAGCCTATCCGATATTTCACGCCGAATATTTTCGAACACAGTAACGTCAATATCTCCACAAATATTTATTATTTTCTGCCGTATATCCAATATTGAAGCAGGTTCAGTTTCGTACACCTTTTGCTTCAAATAGCCCCATAAAAAAGTCCAAGGGTGTCAAATCTGGCAAGCGGGCTGGCCATTCTGTAGGACCTCGACGGCCATTCCAACGATCAGAAAAAGTAGTATCAAAATAGTTTCTCACTTGTCTGGAGTAATGTGGTGGTGCTCCATCTTGGAATACAAAATATCGATATCGAATTCATTAGGATTCGCTTCGACGATTTCAGTCATGAGAGGGTTAACAGTAGTTTCCAGCATATTCAAATACAGTTCCCCTGTTAAATTTTAATCAATAAATAGAGGTCCTACAATATGGTTTCCCAATATTCCTGCCCAAACGTTGATTTTTTCTGGATATTGGTTATGTGTTTCCTGGAAAACGTGAGGGATGGTGTCACTTCGATAACTGCAATTTCTTCTGTGAACATTTCCGTTCAAAAAATCTACATTCGCCACTGAAACAAATATTGTGGAGATAGGTAGGATGCCTTGCAATGGTTTCCGTCATGATTTCACACAATTCTGTTCTTCGATCAAGGTCATCTTCAGTTAATTGGTGTACCATTTTAATTTTGTATAGATGATACCTATTCCTCTTCAAAAGGAGGCACCTCACAAACATTCGCGACGGAATAAGAAGACTGTTCAGGATCTACTACCATCTCACCAATTATTTGCACTTGCTGTTCTTCCGGAATGGACGGATGACCTGGGGGCTTTTTGTTATGTGCAATACCGGTAGTTGTGAATTTGGATACAAGTCCTCTCAAATATTTTCTACAGATAGGACGATTCGGAAAACGTTCATTGAAAATCATTTCGGTCTCGTACGATTCACACAATAGACGAGAATTGACCATTTTAGAGATTGTTGACGTGGTACCTTTCCACTAGTAAAACCGAAAACTAAATGAGAATATTCTAACTGAACAATGATGTTCACTGTCGTACTGACATTTTTTGTCGATTTTATAAACAAAAAACAACTTAACAAACCTTATCGGGTTGTTGGAATTGCCATATGGTAGATAAAAAGGAATATTTCTAGAAATTTCGATATTAATGTGTTTGTCTTCAGGAAATTATTAAATGTTCCGCCATTTTGTAATAGGTGAAGATATTGATTCATATTCTAGGGTCAGGGCCGTAGCGGAAAGAAAAATCAGGGGGGAAGGGTATGCACAAACAAAAATAAATTTTGGTAATTATAAAAATAATAATGGGATTTATTTCACTTTAGACCAAGGTCCTTGGTCTTCCACCATATCTACCATGTATAGGAATATTCAATACAAATGAAAGGAAACAACACTCAAATAATATTGTGCTTATTGTTTTCAACTATTATTTTTTCTACTTCCCAACTTTTCTAAGTCAAAAAAAACAGCGAAAAGTTGGAAATTTTGTAAAATTGTCACTTTAAAATTTGTAGACTGTTCTCTTACTTGGGAGAAATTGAACTTTTTGAAGTTTTCAAACAAATTAGAATTTCAAAGTATGGAATGCATGTTGGGAAATCCCTACCTTTTCCTGGTGCTTTCCTTTTCTTATTACCTCTCTCTTTCCTTTCTCTTATTTTTAATTTTTTAATTTTTATTCGTTTTCCACTATTATATTTTTTTATCTTCACGGCCCAAAATTTCCCAACTTTTCCTGCAAAAAGCAGGGGTGAGGCTCACCCCCATCCCCCATGGCGACGGCCTTGTCTAGGATTGTGAAGTATTCGCCAGGAGCTTCGAAATGATGTGTCACAGGCCCCCCCTTTGCATTTAATTTTTTTTCCAGATGAAGCCCAGTCGCCATCTTGAAAGTTTAATCTATCAATTTCACTTCAAAATAAAGTAGTTATGCATTAATTTTATTATCCCAAATTTCAATTTTTTTGAGCTGACCCCTTCAAAAAATAAAAAGGGGGGTATTGAAGAAATGCACTGAATAATTCGTATAAAATTCATGTGAATTTCATAGAGTACATTTCGCGTCTATGATATGTGAAAAATCATTTCATGATTTGAATCACCATGAATAACTTGTAGTGAATTAATTATGTCTTATTATTTCAAAATGCGCATTAGGATTTCATGGCGGACTATCGATCAGCAGGAACTCGTTTCTGCATAACAACTGATCGAGACATAATGTAAAATATTATTATGCAAAGCAATATGCAATATGCGCTTAGTAACTTACAACATTTTCTACCCACAAGTGTCGTTTTATGTTGATGATGATCGTTCTAGCTGATGTTGAATAAAACGGATTTAAAACGAAACAAGAAACAATTATACAGAAGGAATACCTTCCGTTGAGGTTCCGTTGTCAAAATTGTTGAAACAGAAGAAGAAATTGAAAGTACACTTTTACGAGTAGAAAGTATCTGAATATGGATACAGTGCTGCCAAGTACTCATAAAAGAAGTGAATAACAAGACTCAGCACTGCTTCCAAACTCACACACTATCTGTTACTTTAAACAACAGCCCAGCAATTTTGACTGCATCCCCAACATTATTCCGTATTTCTCCTTTGATTGCACCTCATCCGAATATAGCGAAGAAGAATTTTGATTTTTCTAGCAATTTTGTAAATATATGTTTGACGAGACTTCGATGTGATTATTTGTGTTTTCATTGTATTTTAGAGTTTTCGACTCGGAAATCAACTACCTTAAATTTCAAAGTTTTTCATAATTACCCATGGTGGACAAATTCAGTTCAGATAACTTTTCATGGGGTGATCAATTGCTATGATTGTAAGAATAAGTAACTGAAAAACTACCACTGAAAAATAATATGCCGACGCCTATGTCGAGGCGGGAATTCCTTCTCTGTTCTGTTCCAATTGGTATTGGAAATACTATATATCCTTGAGTTCTCTGAAACCATTTGGCTGTTAACCCCTCAATCGTCGCAAAACACGATCCTTTCATGGGTCTCTTCAATCTTGGGAGCAGCAAAAAGTCACAGAGGGCCATATCTGATGAATACGGTGGCTGAGGCACGATTACGGTTTTGTTTTTGTCCAAAAAATTACAAACAAGCAATGATGAGTATTGCTTCATCACCAGTTGTGATCCTGTTAAGCAAATCTGGATCGCCGTTAACGTCATTCAATAATTTCAGAGCGATGCTCATGCGGCGGTTTTTTCAATCAAAATTCACAACTTTGGAATGAACTCTGCCTCACACTTGTATAAACATTTTTCTAACCCAGAATACAATCAATTTATGCCACAGTCAACATTCCAAGTGTTTTTGAGCACTTGATTTAATTTTTCACATAAAATTCGCTACAAATTATTTGATCCATTTTTTTCGATAGCAGAAAATTGTCGAAGACGCAAAAAATTTGCAACTTTTATGCCAACAAATTGAGTATGTTTAACATGTTCGAGAGGAGCGTGTCAAAAAATGAAAAAATCGCTAATCGAATTTCACCTTCATTTTTTAACAGTCCACGTACATTATTGCCTATTTGAATTGAAGGGGTTATATTTTTAGGAGTGATTAATTTTTGGGAAAGAAAGTTTTTGGCTTTCTACTACTCCATCTTGATACAAAAAAGAATGGGGGAATCTTCCAAAGAAAGGAAGGAAGTAATCAATTTGAAAATAAGTAAGTCTATACATGGATGTGTAGAACATACAAAGAAGTAACTTTCAGACACAAACAGAAAAAAAGTCCTCCTGAAACAGCTACTTTCATATAAACATTGAATTACACAAATTATTGCCTACTTTTGAAACAGGACGGTTGTTAATTGTCCATGTACCATCGCTACTCCTTATAAAACATAGTTTTTTTATTTTTCCCAATTAATTTATACTTTTAACGATTCTTTTCTCTAATTATTGTTTCTTCTATTTTTGAAACATTATGCAAAATTTCCTCAAAATACAAAATCCGATTCATTTTCATTCGCGTAACCCCAAAAAATCTATTATATTAATATTATTGTATGATACAAAACTATTAGACCACATTGTTATCAGGAAACACTATTGACTAATGACTTGCAGAAACTATTAGTGTCAAGGTATTTTTCGATTCAGCACTTGTTATCCTAATCGTTTTTCGTCAAAACAGATGAAGGTTTACCTTGTGAGAAAATCTATGTGATGAGTAACTGATATTTTCAATTTATGAATGTATAATAGATGGCGATCTTTTCAATCAAGTTGCAAAGATTTGATACAATTTAAAAATACATGTGTCAACAAGTCTATATACACAATAAACTGGTTTTGAATGGAATAACAGTGTAATTGTCGTTGATAGTACAATCGCAAATCTTATATAAGACTCAATGAAAATTCAACCAATCTTTTTTGGAATGTCAGAACGCAGTATTAATGATATTTTCAAACAGGAACTATTTTTCCAACAATCGGCAATAGTCCATAGTTTTCAACCGCTACTGTTTCATCCGGTAGCGGTTGAAACTTTTGGTGTTTATGGCCCGGAGTCTCTGTTATTCGTTCATGAACTCGGAAGGAGAATAGGCCAAGCAACGAAAGATCACCATTCTACCTCTTTTTTGATAGAAAGAATCAGTATTGCTATTCAACGTGGCAATGCTGCTTCAGTACTTGGAACTATTCCTCCTTCACATAATTTTGATGAGATCATGCATTGCCCTAATTTCAGTACGGAACTGAAAGCTCTTCAAAACAAGCCGAGATATGTGAATATTCATCAGTCTCCTATCAAGGTTAATTATGCAGCTGAAAAAGCAAATGCGCCACTGGAATCAATGAAGTCGCCCCGGAGCGCCAATTAATTTTTATTGTTGTTTTTATTTTATTTTTATCGTTGTTTTAATAAAATCATTCCGTCCATAGTTGAGAAAATAATTAAAAACATGAATCAATTGGAAAAAACATTCTAAACTGAATTTTTGAACAAAAATGATATACGAGAGGACGAAAAAATTTGGTACAACTGCCGAAAAACTATAGTTTTTTGCAATTGTGCTATCAGCATTGTCTATCGAAATTCATATACATTGGGATCTCGGAAACTATGAGATACGAAGATGGTTAAACTGAGCCAAAGTTGCGCATTTACCTGACTAACAATGTGCCTTTGAGAAAGTTCTGAAATTCCGAGAATATCCGGAGATATCCGGAAAAACAGAAATTTCGGAAAATGGTTTTTATTTTTTTCTGGCTTTGTTTTTCGAACGATTTGAAAATGAATTGCACTTCCATAATGCCACTTTTTCCCTGCTACATAATTGTGTTTTCAGATTTGCTTCCGGCCACCACCATCAACTTTATTTTTTCTTATGGGCGAATAGAACCAGATTTCATCTTTTCAATTATCATTCAATATCATTCTTTTCCGAAAAATTGGAGATATTGAAAAAAATCAATTCTTATCATAATAGGCTTTGACTTTGATGTTTTTAAATTTGACTTTCAATTTGTTACACTCAATGACATTTTGTTATGTACAAGTCATTGAATTTTCGGCGAAAAATGGCTTTCACGAATGTAGAAAAAAGAGATATGATACAAATTCATTACAAATACGATAGAAACAGTGTTAGGACATCGGAAATGTATTCAAACTTGTATCCCGAAAGATAGAATCAACAATCAAAATTTGATAAATGTGGTGTATATGAGGTAAATTAGACATTGTGTTCTTTTCAATGTAAATAGAATTTTGAACAAATAATAATAATTAACTAAAATGTAAAGACAAAAGTGAATCACAGCAAATGGTGTTATCATGTTTATAATAACACAACTGTGCTCTTCTTCGAATATCATTCACTGCAAGATTCATTTCCCTCCTTCTGAATTTTCCAACTCTCTAACAATGCTGTGTTGTAGGTCCTCAATATTTTGATATTCCCTCTGACCATAAATTCTATTTTACAGTGTATCCCATAAGAATGTATCCATAATACTTAAGTCTGGAGACCTTGATGCACACCTCACCGGCCCAATATCCCCCATCCATTTATCACCAAACCTTTTAGTCAGGTAATTAGATACTCGTCTGGTAGTGTGCGGTAGAGCACCATCATGTTGAAACCAGATGTTGTTACAGTTAGCCGAAGGTAGATCATCCAAATAGTCTTCGAAAATCGACATTTGAAACTGGTGATAGGTTTTTCCATTCAGAATTCCGTCAAATAAATGAGGACCCAAAAATATATCATTGTAAATTTCTGCCAATCCTTTAATACTAAATCGCACTTGGGGTCGAATTTCTCGGAAATCCCTGGGGTTGTTTATGGTCCAAATGTGTTGGTTATTTCAGTTGAATATTCCACAATTCGTAAAAGTGCTTCCATCTCTCCAAATTGTATTTTCCAGGAAAACAGGAGAACTAGGTCTTCTCATCAGCCAATTACAAAATTCTATGTGTTTTTTGTAACATTTTGAACCACTTTTTTGAGATGTCTCCAATCACTTGTATGACAAATATTCATTTCGGAGGAAATTTGACGTGTAGATTTCTCCGGGTTCATATTCATCTGCAAATTATTAATTTTCATTGAAAAAGACACAATGTCTAACTTACCTCAAAGATACCTTTAGTTTTCTGGTTCATTCTGTCTTCGTATTTTTTCATTGGCTTTTCAGACGAACCAAACTCGGTGAGAATTTAATCCAATAATTTGAACATAGTTCGATGTGGTTGTCGCCTTTCGAAATACAAGTTTAAAAACATTTCCGATGTCCTAACACTGTTTCTATCGTATTTGTAATGAATTTGTATCATATCTCTTTTTTCTTCATTCGTGAAAGCCATTTTTTCGTAAAAAATTCAATGACTTGTACAATAACAAAATGTCAAATTTAGAAACATCAAAGTCAAAGCCTATTATGATAAGAATTAATATTTTTCAATATCTTAAATTTTTCGAAAAAGAATGATATTGAATGACAATTGAAAAGGTAAAAAAATCTGGTTCTATTCAAAACAGAAAGAATCCATTTCACTAGTTCGGACTTCCATTGTCTATTATATGAAATGATTTGAAATCCCTGAAACAAGTAAAAAAGAATAATTAAAAAGAGAATAGTTGAAAATAACAATTATATTATTTTCAACTATTCTCTTTTTAATTATTCTTTTTTACTTGTTTCAGGGATTTCAAATCATTTCATATAATAGACAATGGAAGTCCGAACTAGTGAAATTCATCACGAAACATTGTCAATCACCTTCAAAGAAAGAATCCAATGTAGCGCCCATAAGAAAAAATAAAGTTGATGATGGTGGCCGAAATACGAAACGTCGGATAGCAAATCAGAACACCATTATATAGCAGGGAAAAAGTGGCATTGTGGAAGTGCAATTTATTTTGGAATCCCTCAAAAAATGAAGCCAGAAAAAAATAAAAACCATTTTCCGAAATTAATTTTTTTTTCCGGATATCTCCGGATATACTTGGAATTTCAGAACTTTCTCAACGACATATTGTTAGTCAGGTTAATGCGCCTTTGCCCCAATTTAACTATTTTTGTATCTCTCATAGTTTCCGAGATCCCAATGGTGAGGATCAAATTTGAAACACCAAGTATTGTTCATTCAACCTATCAATGAAACAAAAAGATTATGGAATATCAACTTATACTCACTTAGCACCTCTTCTAGCAACCTCCAATAAACAGAGAATGACGTGCTTCTCGTTCTTCCGCATAATCAAGTCGTCGGTTTCAAAGAGGAGACATTCAATTACTTTCAGGGAATTTTTGCACCAATTGATGAAATTGCTAACATTGTCCCTGAAACAAGAGATCAGAAATAAAAAAAGGTGAATCGAAATATTTAAATAATACTATCGGGTTGTTTCAAAAGTTTTGTCCGTTTTTAAGATCCTACTTTGAACTGTAATATTTCAGTGACTACTTATTCAGTTCCATCGAAGTGAGCGCCATTTGAAGCAGTGCACTTTTGGTAACACAAGTCTATTATTTCTGTCAGCATAAAAATTGTGTGATCGGGATTTGATGAACTCGACGAAGGCTCTTTCTGTCTGGTCCTGATTGGTGAAGGTTCCACCGGTGAGAAAGTTATCAAAGTGCTTGAAAAGATAGTATCCATTGGCGAGAGATCTGGGGAATATGGTGGTTGAAGCCGAACTTCGACGCCCAATTCGTTTAATTTTCGAACGGTGATTTGTGAAACAGCCGTCATACCGTAAAAATGATGTTTTTTGTGAGTTTTCGCCTTTGGGAAGTGCCTGGGTGGCTCATCGATGTCCAATCACTGTCTAAACATCTCCTGCTGTCGTATAGGATCCACTTTTTATCACAAGTGACGATCCGATCCAAAAAGGATCGTTTTGGTTGCATAAAAACAAAGAAGACCCCCATCTCGAAACCTGAGAATTTTTGTCGATCGTCCAAGTAAGGCACCCACTTTCCGAGCCTTTTGATCTTTCCAATACATTTCAACCTTTAAAAAACCACATGGGAGCTGAAGCCCAGTTCTTCCACCATCCCACGCAGCGTTTGTTATGGGTATTCTCCACCAGGGTCCGCAAATCCACATCCTTGGTTACTGTAGGTCGACCACTTCGGGGCTCATTTTCGAGGATAAAATCACCGGAACGAAATTCCATAATTAACGTCGAACAGCGCGTTCATTAAGAGTATCATTGCTAAGTGTCTGTGTAATTTTTCGGGCAACTTTGGCAGCGCTTTGGTACAATTTCAATTCGCAGAGAAAAATTGGCCAAATATCACTTGACGACATCAAATAGTAATACGCTGAAAAAGGCAAAAGATTCAAAGTTGAAATAAAAGAACAGCATCAACGTATAGTGTATAAAATTCTCTTTCGATCAATATGAACCACGACAGAGTAGAATAAATATTTTATTGAGATATGGAGCTACAAAAATACATGACAATAAATCGGACAAAACTTTTGGCAAAAAAATGCACGAAAAAACTGTCAATTCATTTTTTCCCCGAATTTCAGTGATACATTTTTTAGACAGGGTCGGTAGGGTAGCCATGAACTTCGTTCGGGGGAGGGTCCAAAACCAGGGAGGTCCGGGGATAATCTCCCGGAAAAATGTTTGAAGAACGGGGTACGAAATAGAGGGTTTCAAACTAATTTTAACATTTTTCATAATCGAAAAAACTTTATATTCCAAAGAAATCTTTTTAGAGTTCATGATTTTTTAATATTTATATTTCTTTCATGATGAAGCAAAGTAATTGTGTTTTATCCAAATAAAGATAAATGTAGTGCTGTAGTTTGCCAGAGCAATAGTTAATATATTAACATTACATAAATGAAATTAACAAAATAATGCATTAATCTCCTATTGCCACTAGCGGCTGGCGTGCGACAGTGACAGTCCAGTCGAAAACCAACAGTGGTATGATAATTTAATGTTTGTAGACAATAATAACGATAACTTTTCTTTCTTTCACCTATTCCATGCTTAATTTATTTTTTAATATGTCTTAAAATTTCGGGGGAGGGGTCCTGACAGGGTTAATTATGCAGATATAATCTTTTACCATAAATCAGATATAAAAATCGAAAAAACACTATCTTTCGCGATTTGGCATTGAGATTTTGTAAGAGTAGGATACATCAATACTTAAATAGAGTAGATAAAAAAATAATATTCACAATCCTGTACCAAAAAATTTGAAAAATTCTATTTGCTGACGTGATTATATTACTAATGCAAGTGTTTATTTACGAAATCAATTATACATTCTGCTCCAAGCAATGGTGTACAGAATACCAATCAGTATTCAATGGGAAGTATGTAACTGTATGTTTGTCAAATAATATTCGTGTGACATTAACAGTTTACTTTCTGATAGAGTGGAAACAAACTTGCGATAATATTTTGGATCAAAACGTTAAAGATTTACAAATTCTCAGTGAAAAATTCTTATAATAGTTGTATGTTAGAATTGACAGAGGTATATTTTAGGACAGATTGATTTTTAGGAAAGAAAAGTTTTGGCTTTCTTCTTCTGCATCTTAATACAAATAAAAATGTGGGAATCTTCAAAAGAAAGTATGGAAGCAATCAATTTCAAAAATACTCCAGTCATTTTAGGGGGTTTGCCTAGAATAGTGGACATATCCAGCTGTAAATTTATATAAACTTTGTATTTTGATATCATAAAAGTATTCTCAAAATTCACATATGATTCGACGGCCGCAACTTCAAACATTGGGAATCAAAAGTCAAAAAACCGACTTTTTGCACGTTTTTTGCCAATATCTCGTTTCCAATGGGTTTTATGCTAATTGTATTTTTTATCAATATTGTAGAGAATTACATTCCCTACAACTTTTGTTTCAAATATTTTTTCATACGTTAAATCGTTTTTGAGATAGAGAGCAGCGCGAGTGCAGTTTAAATATTATTTGAAATCAACTGGTTGTCCCGATCGAAATCAGCCTATTTAAGGTCCATAAATTATTACTTAATAAATAATTATAAATAATTTTCATTTTTTTAGCAAATACATTATATTAAAATATTTTTTCAGAGAAAATAGGTATATATGCCGTGCTGAATTTGCAAATTGAAAATGGAAACTTCGATTAATTTTTTAATTGTATGGAAGTGAGTGAGAAATCCTAGTTTTTATCAATAATCAACTTTGAACTTTTCACTTCACTTTCCAAAGCCGGTAGCAACTACATTTTTCTTTTTCCTAATCGATGATTTTCTGACTATATAGAGATACTTGTTAGTTCGGTCATAGACTAGTTGAGACTCCATATTATTATTTATATTTCATTGTCAACCACATAATGTCATCTCCAGATTCTACTGATTGACAAATTATCTGAACAAACAAATCGGTTGATAATGGAAATGACGGTGACGTCAGCATTACACCAATATAAATTGAAAGGGGTTTATTTTTAGGAGAGATACAGTTTTGGGAAAGATGATTTGGGATTTCTATATCTACATTTTTACACTAAAATATGGGAAACTTCCAAAGAAAGTAAGAATGCAATCAATTCAAAGTAAACTTTTTACGAAGATGTGAAGATCATGCAAATAAGTAACTTTCAGACACAAACTGAAAGAAAAAGCCTGCTCAAAACCGCTACTTTCATATAAACATTGAATTACACGAAATACTTTCTGAACAACTAAAGCTAGTGAAGTAGAAAGCCAAAAGTTTTCAACTAGGCTAGCCTCATCAGCCTGTTGGTAGTGCTTATATATCACAATGGAAGTCTTTGGCCGAAAGGAATATTCTCGAAGCCACGCGACACCTAGAACGTTTGAGAAGCACAGTGTTTGCTTTTTATGTTTTTAGGGCGTATGATGGTGTATCCAAGTTTCATCAACAGTAATCAATCTGCGCAAAAACTATGGACACAGCGCGTCCAAAATTTCTGACACTTTGGTGAGTTACTGTCAACAGATGAAAAACGAAATTCAATATATATAGATAGTAATATTTCAAAAAGTATAGTTAATCTGTTCTAGTGAAAATCTCACAATAAAGTGTTTTTCAAAATACATCAACTTTAAAATAGTTTTTGAGGTAAGTAAACAACTGACAAATAGTTGAATAATTTGATTGAATTTTATTATTTTTATAGTATTAAGATGGATGCCGTAGCAGGTCCAAGTAATGTACAAAGGAAGCGAAAGTTTATGTCGTTAGAAGAAAAACAGATTGTCTGTAGAGTGTACGAAAATTTAAAAAATACACTCCGTTCAGTAGAAGCTGTAGCCCAGTATTCATTTTTAACGGGAATATCCCTGTCGACAATTGAACGCATTGTACGTGAAAAAAGGTGACTGGGATTGTGCAAGCTCCAAAAGTACATTGTCGTGGTAGAAAAAAAATTGAATTGGACGAGTACCAGAAAAATTTTGTACGCTATACCATTCAATCTTTCTTTTTTGAGAATAAAGCGCCAACCCTCTAATCCATTAGGACAAAGGTAATGGATAATGATCTCATTCGAAAAATGAGCAAAGAGAAGTTGAGGAAAATGATAAAAGAAGATTTAAAATTTGTATATGTCAAACGATCCCGTAAACCTGTCTTAATAGAAAGAGAAGATATAGTCTCATGGCGACGGAGATATCTTCCCTCTATTAGAGAAATGCGTTCTGCTCACAAAATATTTATTATCTGAACGAAACGTTGGTGAATGCTGGTCACACAGTATCTAAGATCTGGCAAGATACTACTGTAACTAGTTATCGTCAAGCATTTGTGGACGGTTTATCAACAGAGTTACGGGGACCAAAGGGTAAAGGACAACGACTAATTGTCGCCCATATAGGTAGCGAGAGTAGCTTTTTAGACAATAGTGCACACATTTTTTTATACAAAAAAAAAGCGGGAGATTATCACGAAGACATGGACGCCCAACGCTTTGAAGGATGGTTTGAACTATGACCACCAGAAAAGCAGACATGTAGAGTTGGTTAGCACGAAAAGGAATTCCATTTTCCGAGGACATGGTTAAGGCCGAGCTTATGAGTGTCATTAAACAGCATCATGACAGACATCGCCAGCATGTGGTAGATACAATAGCTCGTGCTGAAGGCATCACCATTTTGAGACTTCCTCCTTACCATTGCGAGTTGAACCCGATATAATTAATCTGGGCTCAAATTAAGGGTTACGTAGCTCGTGGAAACGTGACACATAAAATTTCTGATGTCCAACGTTTATTAGAACTCGCAATGGAACGGACACGGAAAGAAGATTGGGCTAATACTGTAGCCCATGTTATCAAGGAAGAAGAGAAAATGTGGAGATTGGACGGGATAGTAGATACTGTTTTCAACCAAATAATAATAGATTTAAATGTGACTGAGGATTCCTCTTCGGACGAGTCAATGGATTCTGAAACTTCATAAGCAAACATAGGTGATTATTTCTTTGCTTTCTAGTTCTCTTTCTATATAAAAGGAACATAATAATTATTTTGTAAATGTTTCTGTTTTTTTTAAGTACTGTATTAGGCATAATAAGAAAATGTAATCGTTATACCATTTACAGCAGGTAGCGCCACTTATTATAATAATTTTTTCATAATTACCTGTGTTCAAATAAATGAAAATATTATTTTGGTACACCTCTGCAGAGTTGGTAAGAGGATTATCCGTTGGTCACCTCAAGTGCGACGTTGCTAATGAATCATCTTCAATTGAAAATTGTTATAGTATACAAGAGTATGTACTTCTTGAACAAATTTCAATCCTCACCAACTCATTGTGTGACAAGGCAATTCAACAACATTAAGTTGCCAATACCATCGACATCAGTCATAAAGGATTCCATTGTCTAAAAATGGTTGTAAAATGTTTAACCATCCAAAGAATGTAACAGAAGTAAAGTCTTTGCAATGCTTCAGGAAGGCTGTACAAGGTTTTTTTAAGTTATAGACCATACTATAATATACAATAATTTTATTATGATTATTCAAGAAAAATATCTTATTTGTTTATTATTTCCCAGCATTCTCAGTACTCTCTGTATGACTTATATGTTCTTATGTATACAAACTGACTTTATGTATTAAGTGAAAATTGATTAATTGAAATGAACTTTGTTTTTACATAAAACTGTATAATAGATTGAGTGAAACTTCGTCCACAAGATTACTCTTATGACAATAAAGTATATTATCTCTCTCTCTCTCTCTCTCTTTTATTCAACAGTGTTGCTATCTTTATGTCGAGGTCGGAAACTTTTCAGATCACCCTCGTATTTCGAACCTTTCAAAAAAAAATTCAGTTTGCGACTTCTCCACTCATAAACATTCTGAAAATGAAATATACCCTCTGCTCGCAACGAAACGGCGAACGTGCCAGAAAAGTGCAGACTTTCGCTGCGGAAATATCCAATTTACTGAAAGGCCCGTTGTATAAATGATTCACTTACCTAGAGAAAAAAGTTCCCGGTTTGGCTGTGTTGAAGTACTTCACTTCGGCTATTCGTACGAGAGCTTGGGCTACTGCCAGTGACCCAGTTACTGATCTGGTCATAATTTTTTTCGCTTGTTTTTTTTCGGCGTATTCTTGAGCTTGGGCCTTCACAGCGTTTGCGTGCTGAAACAAAATAAAAACAATGAATTATTCTGACGTAATCAGCAATGACAGCAATATACTTCAACTTCGCACGGGTGCAATTCAGAGTTATAATTTTCATCGTGGAACATAGTTCAAGTTAACGGCTTTTCATACTGATCGTAATTCAAAAATAATTCGAATAATTTACATTGAATTACATGTACATAACCTCAATTATGAAACTATTTAGTCGGATTAGATTTATTATGACACCATGCCCGTATATTGAACAACTAATTTGAATTACGATTTAACTATATAATAGTTATACGCTGTTTGTTCAATGTGAATTTTGATTTTTCTCAAGATTTTATAAAGAAATAACATATAAGCAACAGAAAAAAAATAAAAAATAGAAATATTAATAAGAGCTGAAAATTAAAAAAATTAAAAAATATTATTAACAAAAAATGAAAAATAAAAATTAAAAGATTCCAAACCAAGTTATGTCACGACGTTTCGATTATCAGTATCCACAATCGTCTTCGGGTGATAACTGGACTTATTCCTCCGAGATTATAGGTCATTCGAATGCTTTCACATATCCCCTCTTCCCTCTCACCCCTTGACTGGTTTCAGCGGGAGATGACCGTTTGGCGGGAGTTGGTCGTTTTTCGTTTGATTAGAGGTTTCCATATGTTACGTATATCTCTACGCTAGCTTGACTAAATCAGTATTTGGACAACATATACGCGGCTTCTTTGAATTTTCTCCTAAACCAATGTTCCTCTTTGTAGATGATTTCAGCTTGAGCCAGCCCTCTTGATGTTATGATGATGAGTCTAAACATGCTCTGCCATTCCGGATTTGTTGGTTTCTCCCCGCTGTGTGTGTTTCTTGTGCTCAGCAATGCGAACTTTCCATGTCCTCTTAGTTTCAACGATGTATGAATCTCCGCCCTCTCAGGGTATCCGGTAAATGCAATTCTTGAAATCGCAGTCCGCGTTTGGTGGCCTGGTTTTCGTGAGGCTGCTACGGATAGTGTTTCCAGATCTAAAGCAGGTCCTAATGTTATACTTGGACCCAATCCTTATTATCCTTTCCGTTCATCCTCTGATGTAGGGAAGTACAAGTACTGATTGTGGGGGCTTCTCTTCCTTGTGGAGCTCTTGCTGTTTTCTAGCCAAAACCTGTTCTACCATCACTCTGGAGTAACCATTACGTTGAAGGTAATTTCTGATGATGCCTAGTTCCTTTTCGAGACCTTCCTTTGTATTACAGAGCCCAAAAGCACGGACTAGTAGAGTCTTGATGATTCCTCTCTTAGTCGATTGATGGTGGTTGTATTTCTGATTCAGATAATGTCCTGTGTGAGTGGGTTTTCGATATACTTTTCAGCTTTTAATAATATTTCAATTTTTGTTTTGTTTGTTGCTTGTTTGTTATTTCTTTGTAATTTCAGTTTTTGTTTAATAAAATTGTTATTAAATTCAGGAACTGATTAATCTTTCTCTTCGAACCGTCAAAACCAAGGACGATATCATCCACATATCTAAACATATCGTTATCCTCGTCATATTACTGCGAAAAGTCACTAAATGACATTTATTGAATTCTGAGATACATATTTCAATTTGAAGTTTTATTTTGGTTTATTAAATTAGTCTTCGATGTTTTCTACACAAGCATTGTCCATGGGTGAAGTTCTTCTGGTATAATATATTTGCGCCATAGTTTCAATTTCTATTTTATTTGGGCGACTTCGCTTGAAAACGTTAAGAAAATTGTAGGAGCCACTATGACTATATCGAAACTTTATTATCCCCGGGCTTTATTTCCCATATTTTAATCATTTCATCTGAAGCAATTTGACTACATTGCCATCAGTACCTTTGATACAGTTGTTGATCATGTGTTTACTAAGATTTTCAAGATCAAGAAAATCAGAATATTTCAATTGGTTCACGGTTTTGCTGTTTTTTTAATTCTGTTCGTTCTTGCTCTCCGCATAATATTCATCCACTCCAGCACATAATTGATACTAACATGCCGTTTTTCCCGTTCTACTTCTATAAAAGAATGTCGCGATTCCAAAAACTTTTGTTCAATTTGATATCCAGTGCATCAAGGCAGTGCCGATTTCATTACTTCCTCTCTTTCCATTTCTTTCAGACCATAATAAGCAATAAGCCTCATTAGGTTGTCTGGATTCATATATACATAAGCTGTAGATACAAGGTTTTCTACAATAGAATAACAGAGATTCTGCATTTGAATTTGAAGCACGCTTCAAATACCATCGGCCTCAGCATATTTTATATCCTATTTTATCATCCTAAAAAATGTTGTCATTCCAAAAAATCCAGAAGTGAGTAGGAGGTTTATCACACATGCAAGAATTGAGCGTTTCGGACATGCTTTAATAGAATTCAAATGGAATGAAACTATCAGCGAGATTCAAACAAATGCCGCGGACATAAACCAACTTGCCAAATATATAACATATTCCTTGAGCTCACTGATCAAAGTTCAATTTCCAATAACAAAATTACATTCACTAAATAAGCCATCAGTGCAATGGTATAATGAAAGCCTTAAAAAATGAGAAATAATTTAAAAGCGACTAAAGTAATATGTGATGTTACAAAAGATCCAGTTGACTATAAAATATATAAAATGATGAGGAAAAAATATAGAGAAAACCTAAAAAAAACAAAAAGAGACGCCTATGATGATTATTTGATGAATTCAAACAACAGAGTAAGGGACTCGTAGAAGTTCATGAATTATGAAAGAAATAATCCAAACAGAAAAAGTAATGATAGCTCGATTGAAGTAGATGAGTTTAATAGTTTCTTTTCAAACATAGCTGAAACAATTATAAAAACGCTTCCAGTTTGCAATTTAAATTTTTCTAAATCCAAATAAAGCCTTTTTGTATTCTTCTTGCAACTCCATTACAGGAAACATGTCGATATTCTGTATTACAAAGACAAAATCTTCGTCTTTGGTCTTGTTGTCTTTTATCATTCGATGTGAAAAGGCCACCCTTACAACCTTCACAGGCTTTATTCATTAGACCATTACTTATACTCAACGTTTTTTTTTGAAAGAAGTTTTGGCAGACTCTGCGTTTTTTTCATCTTTCATAAAATAATATGCTCTGCTACACTTTCGATGTTTAGCCAGCGGTACGTTTGCTCCAGGTTTTGCTGGTGGTTTTCGATCTACAAATTTCAGAATAAAATCCTTTTGTCTTGAATAACTGGAGAGAGCCCAAAAGTGTTTGCAAATTTAAAGTCTGTTTTCTTCATTAAATATAGGGTGATCCAAAAGTACTTTGACAAACTTCAGGAGGTGATTCCTCACAATATTCTAATATGAATTGTCCAAATAAATAAATGTCCGGAAAAGCTTCATTTCCAAGATACAGGATGTTGAAGTTTTATTTTTATTTTCGTTTTTTTCAAATAACTTTTGAAATACTGAGCTTAATTAAACGAAACTTGGTAATAGGAGGTTTTTGAGGTGTCAAATTCGAACCTGATGTTCTTATTGCTCTCACTCGTAGGGGGCGCCAACTACACGTCTTTTTTTTTAAAGATCCATAACTTTTTTGGGCGTACTTCTAGCACATTTTTCAGTAAAAAAATCGATTCCTCTATCATATCTACGTAAATAAGCTACCCTTGTTACTAGTCGCTGTAACCGTTTTCTAAATATTTGGACTTGAAAACTTCAAGTCGATTATTTGATAATCGATGCATGTTGAAGTTATTACGAATATTTTGCTGTTCTCACAAGAATGCTTTGGAAATGAATTTGACGTTTTACTCATTTGAAGAGGTCATTACTGTCGGGTACGTTCCTTTATGACATCCATAAGCGAAATAGTTATTTTTGTATCAAGGGTGCATTTTATTAAAACAAATACTGATTGTATATGTTTTAATAAAATTTGCAAAAAATGTCAACATTTTATTTTAGGAAATTTTGAATATGTAGAATAAACTAAAATAAACGAAACTGAATTGTATTTAAATAAATTTTTGGAAGTGTCCACCTTCAGCGAAGATACAGGCAGTCAATCGTCTAGTCATTGAATCTCCTACCCGCTCAAAAATTATTGGTGTGTTTCTTATTGTTTCATAGGCGTCTACTATTCGGTTTCTTAGATCCAGAACCAGAACCAGGCGTGGTGCCCACGCCTGGTGTGGNTTTCCTTTTCTTCCTCACTACGGACACAAGTCCGTATCCGTGTCAGTCTCATCCACTGGCCAGCTACCGGCAGCTACCACTAACAGCAGTAGTGAGTTTTTGCGTTATTGCACAGTTGAACATGTATGTAACGTATTAATACGAAAAGTCAATAATTTACTTGAATATTTTTCGCATAACACTTTTTACTTTTTATATTGCTGGTGACTTTCAGCATTTACAGAAAACGCTTAGTGATAGATTAACCCAGTTAGTGACTATCAGAACTGAAAGATAACACTTCAATCATACTGTAAGATGCAGTTAGTTGATTTTTCCATAAACTGTCATTTAGTGACTTCGCAGTGATATGACGTCCTATAGTCAAAATGAATTTCTACAAAATGAATAGGTCATCAATCGAACAAACCTATCATCAAATTGAATAACCACATGCGAATATTAATCTTACTTAAAGAAATACAAGTGAAGATTCAAAGCTAATAACAGTATCTTATCTAAATCAGATGACCTACAATAAATTCCTTTGAGTATGGTAAAAGCAATTCTAATACAAAGGACCGCCATTATTCATTTCAGTCGCTGCGAATATAAAAATAATGCAAGTAGGCCAAAGTTGAATAAGTCATTCATCGATTATTTCTATGGCATGTCCGCTTATTCATGGACAATGTGCGCAATTTCATTGTTTGAATATTACAAAGATATTCGTGCAGGTGTTTCATGTGTCTCATTTCTCGATGAATAAGGTATTCCTCAAGGAGCTGCATGGAACCGTGAATAACGGTTTAATAATTACATTGCTTTCTTTTAGATTCACT